AGGTAGAAATCCAGTATGTCAGTTAAAAAAGTATAGAAGGACTTGTTGAAGTAACACATGAACATATTTATTTTTTTAAGGTTGGAAGTTTTTGTCTCTCTGAAGTTGGCTCAGGAAGTGATGCATTTGCTCTTGATACAAAAGCTGAAAAGCAAGGAGACTTCTATGTGATAAATGGCTCTAAAATGTGGATCACAAATGCTGAACATGCTGGAGTATTTCTTGTCTTTGCTAATGTTGCACCAGAAAAGGTAAACAATGATAAAACTCATGTGACTCTGTTGTTACCCCCAGTGTAGTCAGTGTCAGAGTTTCTTTGTTAATAATATACATGTCTGGTTGGCTGAAAGTTAGAACATTTTTCATGTAACAAGAGTGAAAAGTTGTAACACAAGTGCAAATCATAAATAGCACACTGCCAATTTTTTTTTTGTCTTTACTTTCTGTGATGCTTTTTTCATGCAGATTATTAAAAAGTAACAACATGATTTCTCATGCAATTTGGTGTTAATAAGCACTTTTGAAGTTTTCAAAGACTACTAATTGCACTTGTCCTAGGGGCTTGTGCAATTTTTTTGTCTTTGAAAAATTTACTTGTGCTTATATTTAACACCAAATTGCACTTAAAATAATGTTGTCATCAATACTAATCACACCCAAATGGAATAGTTACAATTACGAATTTAAGAATTTCACTTCAGCAATCTCTTTAGCAATCTTCCTTACTGTCTGCTATACAACTCTTATAATTTTTGGGTGGATCATTTGATGTTGGACCAACTTATAATCCCTGAATTGCTCAAGATTCAACAATCAGAAACTATCTTGCTTTATCATATAATTTTGTTTGTTATATGTAATTCATTCAGACCCAGTTGTTCAAAGGGCAGATAGCACTATCCAATGGAAAGATCTCTATTCAGGGGATAAGTGTTAACAAAAAATACTGTGTTGTCTGCCAGGCCCAGATTATTTGAAGAATGGATAATGCTATTCATCTAATAAATTTCTGCCTAGTCATGGATAGCGCATTATGGCTGGCTGGTGAGCTATCAGTTGGAAAGTATTATCTGCCCTTTGAACAACCAGGACTTTATTTAAAAACTTGTTCTCACCCACTGTTTCTATGCATCTTCTGTTTTGTTGTTAATCAGGGATACAAAGGAATAACAACATTTGTAGTCCCAAAAGAAACAGATGGTCTTTCACTTGGGAAAAAGGAAGATAAGGTATGAGATGGTAAAGTTTGTTAGCTTAGTCTGCTGGTTGATAGTTTGAAGTACTACTTGTGAATTGTCAAATTATTTTAATGGACAGTGATATCAGAAAATTTTCCTAGGTGCATGAATTGGAGGTGAAATAACAAGTCAAACAGTCATATGATACCTTGGAAAATTTTTACAAACTTTTTTGAGTTTTTCTTTTTTTTCAATCATAGCTTGGAATTAGGGCATCATCAACATGTCCTGTGCACTTTGACAATGTGAAGGTGAGAATTTTTCTGTTGGCTTAATTTTGTGATAAAAGTGTTACATGTTCATCTTTGCACATGCAGTCAATGCATTAGGTTACCACCCCTCTCAGCACACTATTTTAACTGGTGGTTTATCTATCCATTGACTCTTTTTGTCGATTTTTGTGTAGGTCCCTGCTAGTGCAGTCCTTGGTCAGGTTGGTCACGGCTATAAGTATGCAATTGAGTGTCTAAATGAAGGACGCATAGGGATTGGAGCTCAGGTGAGTGATAGACACCTTCGCAAATTATAGAAATTGATCAGAGTAATGTGCAAGATACAAGAGGTGTGCTTTCAAATAAAATTCTCATTTTATTTGCCATAATCCACTACAACTCACCTCATCTCCTTAGTTGCCTAAGAATGAATTCGCCTCAAGATATAAGTAGAGTAAACTAATAATCATTGCACCCCTGTATTCTCAGATGGTTGGACTTGCTCAGGGCTGTCTAAATTGTACAGTTCCTTACTTACACGAAAGAAAACAATTTGGCCAGAAGATCTGGGACTTCCAGGTAAGAGGAACTGTCAACCAGTCAGCCACACATTGGAGACACAGCTACAAAATTACAGTAAACCCATTAGGCTAACTCCTTTGCATAGAGAGCAGAATTCACGAAAGGTGTTGACATAACCCAATGTTGACATTGGTTCTAGCCAGAAGCATGTAATACTTCTTCTCAAGCTTGATTCATCTCTTTATGAATGTACTTTTGAAGATGCATAGAAAATCAATGAGAGCTGCAATAACTCAGAAGGTAAAGGGTATGTTTTTCAGTCAGGGAGAAAGAAAACAGAAATTAAAGAGGAGGTGAACCTTCAGATTAACACTTTTTGATGATATAGTAAGGGTGTTTTCAGATACTACTTTCTCTTGTTTGTATAATTGTTAAAACATTTCAGGTTAAACTTCTCATCATCAATTTTTCTACTCATACAGTATCACTATTAATATTAGTGCTACTTGTAGTTCTACTTGTACTGTGGTTAGTGTTAAGGTTAGCCTTGACCTAAACAAATTTGATTCTTGTTTTGATTGCTTCTTTAGGCTGTCAATCACCAGGCTGCACACATGCTTACGCAGATTGAGGCTGCTCGGTTGTTGGTGTATAATGCAGCACGGAGAAAGGAGGCAGGGCTTCCCTTCCTTCGAGAAGCTGCCATGTCAAAGTACTTTGCAGGAGAGGTACTGTTTATTCTCAAAACTTTATTTTCTTTGTCTCAAAGCTTCACAGAGATTTAAGAGTAAAGAAGACAGTTTGACAGGTAATAAAAATTTGTTCTGAACAGTCAGGATGCAAAGGATTGAGGATGACAAGGATTTTGTTGAATGAGACTGACTGTACTGATTCTACCCTTTTGTACATATAGAGGAGGCAGTTGTGGTCAGTTCAAGGTCATGAGAAAACAAAGCAGTATCATTAGTAATTTAGCAATTAAAGCTCATCAGCATGGGACTTAGCCATTGGCTCTATGGAAGTCTTATGACTTGCATGCTGATCAAATTGCATAATCTAAGAAAGGACTAATATTTAAACTGCTTGTACTTAGTCTACACCTCTCAAAATTGTTATCTACATTGAAAATATTAATGAGATTAATATTCATCTAAATTGTATCTGCACCCTCCTGTGTGTGTTTACTTTACAGTCAGCAAGATAGAAAAGAGAAAGAATATGCATTATTTGTTTCTAATCAGGTGGCCACCTTGACAACTTCGAAGTGTATTGAGCTGATGGGAGGAGTGGGTTATTCCAAACAGTATCCTGTGGAGAAATTCTACCGTGATTGTAAAATAGGTTGGTGCAGTTTTTATGTCTGAATTCAAAGCTTGGGGCAAAGGGGGCTGGACAAAGACAGGAGAGAGGGCAAACTCTTTTTTTTGTCATTTGGCCTGGAGCTCTATGCACTCTTGGCAATCTTAATCCACTATTTTTGTACAATTCATGGTGTTTCCTTGAAGCTTGAAACTTCAGAACATGCACAGATCACGTGGATCATGAGTCAAATTGTTACATGTTTTTATTCACCTGTCTTCCTTCCATGATCATAGTGTCCAGGTCTGTTCAGTTCAGACCCAGGGCAATGGTCTTTTCCTTTTGGTCTATGATCCAACTCATTTAATAATATCTTTTTTAACCCTTTAACTCCCAAAATCTTATTAGTAATTCTCCTTACTGTCTGCCATATAGTTCTTGTGATGTTAGTTTGGAGAATTTGGTATTGGATTAACTAATTAGTATTTTTCTTTATTCTCATCACTTGTCTGCTTGATATTGTATTGATATTGTATTGATATTGTAAGGAGAAAATCTTTCTTGGTCACTCATGGAAGTTATAGGGTTCAATTTGTTTTTTTTTTTTCAATTTAATGTGAAGTAAAATTCCTAGCCCTCGACTACTATTTCTGTTGTCTATGAGATGTGCAGTCTATGAATTTTAAAATATTTTATATTTTCCCAAGCAATCTACAGAACACACTGCTAGCGGCTAGTAAAACATTTATTTCGTTTGATTCAGTCTCCTGCAAATGATCATCCTCTATTTACAGTCTTGTGAGCGCATCATTGGCTTTGTGCCATGTTAAGTTCTTGGATCAGTTTCGATTTTTGTTCACCTGCAGGGAAATTGAATTTTATTTTCTCCCAAATCAAGTAATACTTAAACCAATTTAGGGCAAAGTACAAGTATTAAAAGGATGACTGAACTGGTTTATTTTGTTTTGATCAATCTAAGTGTTCCCAGGTTCTCTTGACTGTTTACCTCATTGCGTTAAGTAAACGTTGTCACAAAAAAAGAAAACCATGGAAAAGCCAACTTCGAAGTTAACATGAAGCATAAGCATACAGCGTTAGCATATATTTTATCGTTGTTTTTATTTATTAATTTTTGGATTAAATTGAAATTTAAAAAGAACAAGTAATACTCTCAAGAAGATTAAATTAATTTTATCAGTAGAAATTCTATGAAAATAATTCGGCTAACGGGCATACAGCCGGCGGGTAGTTTCATATGCTAAATAATTCCCATTTGGTTTTTTTCCTTTTTCGTTTTTTCGTTTCAGTTTTAGTCTATGATAACGTTATTGAACTCAGGAGTATTAATCTGTTTTGTACATACATTTTTACACGTTGTGGATAATGAAAAGATTGTTTGCCTCCGTAGCTCTATATTTAATAAAATCTTATTCCAAATTTTGTTTCTCAGTGAAAATGTCATTAGTTAACTCCTGGAGAGTTTTGTTGTCAATCAAATATCTGAATGTTTGAATTACCTCGGTCAAACACTACAATTCGGCCATTGTTTAAAACTGCTGCGGACCATGGAACTTCAAATTCTCCTAAATTGTTGCCTTTTGAACCAAAATCCCCGACAAATGTTCCATTTAGCTCAAATACTTTTATAATATGATTATCTGAGTCGCAAACTATTAGGTGGCCTGACGTTGTTAATGACAAGCATCTAGGAGTGCGAAGCTGTCCAAACTTGTACTTGAAGTTTCCTTTCCTGTCGAAAACTTTGAGGCAATTATCATTCATGTCCGAAACTACGAAATTGTTATCGCACTCAACGCAGTGGATAGGATAGAAAAAAGAGCCTTGTTCTCCAATTTTCATCAGGAACGTGCCATCAGGAGTAAAGATCTTAATCAGTTTGTTACCTGCATCAGCAACAATGATGTTGCCATCACTGTCTACAGACAAACCACAAGGATCAGAGAACTGATTGTCCATGCTTCCTTTTTCACCAAAGCTTCCCACAAACTCGCCCATTTCAGTAAAAGTTTGTATTCTACTGTTGTTGTTGTCTGCTACGAAAATGCATCCATTTTTGCTGAAAGCTATGCCCGTCGGTTTCTTAAATTCTCCCTTGTTTGTGCCAAACCGGCCAAAGGATCGCAAATAAGTTCCATCGCTGTTAAATATTTGGACTCTATTGCAATCAAAATCTGTGACTGCTATCTCGTCCTTGGTATTCACTGCCACACCCCAAGGAAGTACAAACATTCCAGCGGACGAGCCGTGTTTTCCAAAAGATAAAACAGGTTGAACCTTAAATGGTTGTACCTGTACAGCAAAAGGGCTGCCATGAACATGTTCCCCGTTTGCCATTATTGTCACTTCATATCTGCCCGGAACTTGGGGAAAATAACCAATCTTGTATGTTCCATCTTGATTAGGATCAAGGTGTACTTCCGTCGCGCATTCTCGTCCTTGTTTATCCTTAATCTCCACCGTTACATGGTCATGCGCATTATAGCACCGCTCTCCTCTCGAGTTGTTTGTGGTCAGTAGAAAGTGCGCCTCACGTCCGGCTATTCCTGACTCAAGTCCTCTGCCTTTGACGACACATCGACTTGGTTTTGTTGGGTTCGGTTCTTCCAGAAAACCAATTTCTTCGTTGTTGATTGTGTCCAACATCTTTTGATTCTTCTCGAATAGTAAACGAAGTGGTGTATTTTCGTGGTCACAGACAATTAGCTCGGCTCGATCAATATCCTCACAGATCGTTGCTAATGATCTCTTCAGTTGAA